CCCCAAAACCCCAAAACCCCAAAACCCCAAAACCCCAAATAGCCGTAAGATTGTTGACCGATATAATAAATAAAATGGGGCAGACCTCCTCCAACCTAAACCTAAAGAAAATGAGAGGGAATGATCACCCAGAGTATGAACTCCATTGGCAGGCCGACCAACTGGAGAAGAAGAACATGGGATCTCTGTACATCGAGGATTGGGAACTCAATGGCAGATGGATTGAACCAACCAGAATTTGGATTAATTGTGACGCTGAAGAGAATAGACAGATCTTGAAGAAGATAACGAAGCTGAGCCCTCATCTTTCTGAGTTGAATTCTATTTATTTCAAGAGAATTAAGAACAGAAAAGCATACATGAAGTGTATGAATTACTGTACCAAGCTGAAAAGTCAATTGACAGGAAACGACCTCAAAGAGGTTTTGATTTGAGGAAGTCAGGCAAATTTAGAGCAAGGTTAGTTTATAGTTGAATTACACTATTCTGACTCTCAATAATATCAACACATAATTTGATGGACCTAGTTTGAAATTTATCAGTATCTACTGTAAGATGGTTAGTCAGAGCCAAGACAACTTTGACTTATCAGTATTTTAGTCATTTAGAATATTAAGAGTCTATCTTAGAAGGTATCCTCTGAAAACTGAACCAGCAAATTCTTAATAATCAATATGATAATATTGGACTAATTAACAATCAAATTTAGACAACTTTAGCTTTTATGCTAGGAGTATGCTCAGGCTTGTTTCAATGGCAACAGAGTTGGTTTACATAGAAGCCTTCAAAATATCACACAAACATTTTGGAAGGATCCTCATGTCATGAAACAACACCCAGAAATTATGATTCAGAAGATGACAAGTGAATGTTGCCAATTTGGATTATCTTGATCATGTAGGAGATACAAAAGATGCCCGCCCATCGATCAAGAATCTCAGATTAGAATTTAACACATTCATTCAGCCTGAAGAAGACAGTGAAAACTTAGATGGATTGATGCAGAAGATGGCTGAGTCCAGGCTAAACACTTGCTTATTCACCGTGGAAATCTGGCTGAAAACAATGTCATTGAACGCATTCATATGTCAGCCAAAGAAAGAGTACAAATGTGGGAACTTTAATGTGACTATTTCTTATTTGCCTTTTTAGCCTAATGCCTTTGTTTAACTAATTTTACCATAAATTACTAATTTCAACTTGCCCCTCTCCCCACGGGGTTTTGGGGTTTTGGGGTTTTGGGGTTTTGGGGTTTTGGGG